CTCGGCGGCGGAGGGTGCAGAGGCCGACGGAGGGCCGCCACCAGCGCCCCGGGGACTGTCGTCGCCCTGCGGGCTGACCATGGCGCTGGCGGTCAGCTGCGGCATCTTCCGTACCGAGTCTGTGGCGGCCGCCGGCTCCTTTTTGTCCCCGGGCGGCCTTGGGGCCGTGGGCGCGGGCTGGCCTGTGCCGAAGCGGATGGCCAAGCTGTCCCCGAAGAAGGCGTAGAGCTCTCGGTAGATGTCCGCCAGGGTCACCGAAGGGGAAGGATCCTCCGGCCCCACGCTTGCTGGCTGCAGCAGGAGGCCGGACCCAAAGCCTGGCTCTGTACCGCCCCCGGAGGGTGACTCCTGCAGGAGGAGGCTGTCCCAGGGCAGGTCGTCGGGGCGCCGGCATCCCCTGGCCTTTAGGCCTCCCCTACTGGCCTCTGCAGCCTGCGCCTTCATCTTCAGCAGTCGCTCCACCGCTACCTGCAGGGACAGCGGACTCGAATAGGCCAAGAAGTCGGAGGAACCTGGGCCTGTGCAGAAAATGGGTCCGGCAGGGGGCTGGCACTCACCAGAATGGCTCCATAGACTTTGTGCCCATCTGCTTTGACTTGGGCGTTAGATACGGAATAATCATCCAGCACAGCCTGCAGGTTTGTCCAGTAAGTGGACAGGTGTGGATACAGGACCCGTTCTACCGCCTGGAACGACAGGAGTGCAGTCAGCCCCTCTTACCCACATATTGCCTGCCTCTCACGTACCCTTTCTGAAGAAAGACTTTTTTGTCTCTGATCCCAGACCAGGCTCAGTCCTAAATTCCCTGATTCTATCCTCCATCCCTACTTGGCATATTCAACCAAGAGTTATTTTTCTGGAAGGTACTGTGTCCAAGAAAGGTCCCTGGGTGGCACAAATGGTTAAGTGCTCAACTAACTGCAAAGGTGGTGGTTCGAACCCCCTTCCATCCCCTGCCCTCCCAGAGGTGCCTTCGAAGAAAGGCCTGTTGATCCATTTTCCAGAAATCAGCCACTGAAAACTCTGCGGAGCCCAGCTGTCCTGTGCCAACATGTGGGGTCACTGTGAGTCAGCACAGGGTGGCTTTTTTGTTTTGTTTTTTGGTATACCCAAGTCTCTGCTGAGCACTGAAGATAAAGTAGCTCACATAAGACATAAAAAAATGACCTCACTATCCCTGAGGTGCAGGCCAAGGGCTAAGCAGGTGTAAGTAATGACCATTACCAAGGCAACAATCTGCAGTCTGCAAACCGCTACCCTATATAAGCAGTAGGCCAATACTGCCCCACTCCATTGTAAACCCATCTGCACCTGGACTCTGATTATATCACTTTACATCCTGTGATTAATTTGGGAAAAAGCAAGACCTCACAGAAGACATCACTCATCCACAGGCTCTGAGGATCTGAAAATGCTGACAAAATTGATAAATTCACAGAAAAATCATCTAACAGCTGACTCAGAAACTATGCTTAAATAATCTTATCGCTATTAAAGATACTGAAATTGAAAAAAAAAAAAAAAAACTCACTGCCGTTGAGTCGACTGCAACTCATAGTGACCCCTCCTTGGGTTTCTGAGGTAATCTCTCTACAGAAGTAGATTACCTGATCTTCCGAGGAGTGGCTGGTGGGTTTGAACCGCCAACCTTCTGGTTAGCAGTCAAGTGCCTTAGGCACTACACCACCAGAGCTCCCAGATACTGGTTAAAATTTAACCACAAAGAAAACATGCCAAAAGTTCTTTACAAAGAAGGTCTACAGACATCAAGGAAAAATACGGCTCAATCTTACACAAATACAAAAAGGAAATACTGTAGTCCATTCTAGGGGTCCAGTATAACCCTGATAAAAAACCACACAAAGACAGTACATGAGCAGAAATTTACTAATGATTGATGTCACTCCTGAAGGGCTAAATGCTTAAAAAAAATTTTTTCAGAAAATCCTAATAAAACCAAGTTGAATTTATCCCAGAAATGTAAAGATGGTTTACTATTTGAAAATTTCTCTCTCTACATATATATAATTAACCACATTATCAGATTAAAAGCAGAAGAACCTTAGGATCATTTCAGAAGATGCAGAAAAAACATTTGATAAAAATTCAACATGAACTAATGATAAAACTAAGACTATAATTTTCTTAATCTGTGAGAGGGTATCTATACACACACACAATCCAAATGGAAAAGGACATCTGTACTTCTTTTAAAATTAAAAACGAGACAAGGATGTCCATAATCATGCAAACACACATTACTGACTGTAGCAATAAGGTAAGAAATTAAAGGCATTGGGATTAGAAAAGAAGAAATAAAGCTGCCATTGTTTGCATGTGATGTGATTATCTATTAAAACCCAATATAATCTACATATTATTAAATATAGTAAAGTAGCTGGATGTAAGATCAGTGCACAAAAGTCAAGTGCATTTCTATACAACAAGAAAAATACCACAAAAAGAAGACACCAGTAAAATGGCATTGAAGAACAGCAAGAATCTAATAAAATACATGTAGGTTCTCTTTAGAGAAAGTTCTGAAAGTTCCTGAAAGATACCGAAGACCAAGAAAAAGAGAGAGATGGCTTGTTCGTGGTCAGGAAGAATTCATAGAACGATACCAATTTTCTCAAAAACTGATCTAATAGAGTCAGTTTAATTCCAATCAAAATCTTAATAGCAACAAGTAGCACACATCCCTAGTACGCAAGAGTCATTCAGTAGAAAAATCCAGTAATATAACCCATCATGTTAATGGAAACAAATAAACATTTGATCATCTCTATAGATGCTAAAAAGGTATCTGACAAAATACAACCTGTATACATGTTTAAAACACTCAATAAAAAATTGAGGGAACATTCCTTAACATGGTAAAACAGAATGGACAGGAATTTGCAAAATGAGGGGTATATATCCTGCCATGCGAGATTTCTGAAGGGGTGAAACATTTCTACACACAAAGCCAGGAGATCGCTGGGCCTGGCCCACAGGAGAAGTCAACAAATGACAGCAACATGTGCCATTTTTACAATAAAAAGCACAAATTACAAGTGAATTGAAAGAAAATGACACCCAAACACTATTTTTCTAACTACAAAAGGGAACTCTTCCAGCTCTATGAGAAACGCCAGGCTCCTCACCTTCCAGCCCAGGGCATGCAGCCCCACAACTGCCCCGTAGTGAGAGCAGAGAGGTCGCACGGGATCGGCCAGAACCTTCTGCAGGGAGAGCAGGATCTGCTGGTAGAGGCCACTTACCAGGTCCCCGTGAGTCCTGTGGGAGTAACAGGGAGGGAACAAGGCATGGCACTGCCCACCCAGGCCACGGCACAGAGACAGCAACCCTCGGGGAGCGCACGGGTGAGCAGACGAGGCTGCAGCAGCCAGGGGTGAGTGGCCCGGGGCCTGAGGGCTCAAAGACCAATCCCAAGGCCTATCTGTAATCATTTGTAGAACCCCAGTGTTCCATGGCACATCAGCTGGGAAGGTTTATGGGAAGAGACCCCAGCGCTCCCCATCCTTTCAACACACAGCCTCTGAGGCAGAGGCTCCACCCCATCTCCCTACCCGACCTAGTCGGCTCTAGGGGAAGCCCTCCCCTGGTTCAGCACCAGGCCCAGCAGCTACCAGAAAATGTGGCTGAGTAGCAGGGCAGCCCCGTCCCGCAGAGTCCAGTGGTCATTCAGGGGGTTGATGGAGGCAGCCAGTGGCTCCAGGACGCAGTAGAGCACACTGCCCACCAGGGAGCGGACATAGGGCCCTAGGCAGAGGTGTGGATTCCGAACCAGGCTCCTTGCCACCTGCAGCAGCCGGTGCAGCTGCTCCAGGTCGTGGCTTACAGATTTCACCTGTCAGCAGAAGAGAGGAGCTTAGGGGACAGGAGGGTGCAGACAGGAGCCATTCCGAGCACCTGCCACGAGCCCTGCACGCTGCTGCGCTATTTCTGTTCCACAAAACCTTACTCCCAGCCCCAGCCCGGTCACTTACCCCACTGACCACATACACGAAATAGGGCAGAAGAGCCGCGATCTTGGAGTTGGTCTGCAAGTCCTGGAGAGCAATCTGGAAAGGAGGGGCCAGACTGCAGAGCACCGCAGCCAAGTAAACACTGGCCCTGGGGGGAGGCCAGCTGAGCAGTTACACATGCAAATTATAAACGTTTATACTCTGACCTGACAACTCTGCTTCTATAAATCTGTCTGGCCACACACACCAACACACAGTGCAGTAACAAAACACTGAGTATAACCTAAGTGTCCAATGTATTTCTGACTGAAAAAAGTAAGTTATAAAACGACGTATTTCTTATGCTACCACTCTGGCTTATACTAATTATAGTTTATAAATTAAAAAATGTGGGTAGGAGACTTTCCTTTTCTCTTTTATCTATTTTTATATTATAATATACAGTATATTCACCCATAAGGAGCCCCCCTGGTACCGGTGGTTTGTAATCAGCTGTAAACCACAGGTTGGGGGTTGGAACCCACCCAGCAGCTCCATGGAAGAAAGTCCTGGCTATCTACTTCCATAAAGATTACAGCCAAGAAACCCCATGGAGCAGTTCTAGTCTATCACACGAGGCTACTGTGCGTCAGGGGCCAAAGTGATGACGACCAACAACAACTCACAAAATAAGGCCATACTGTTGTTCTCTATATATATTGAATATACAATATATGGGCGCTCTGGTGGCGCAGTGCCTAAGGCACTTGACTGCTAACCAGAAAGCTGGTGGTTCAAACCCACCAGCCACTTCTCGGAACGAAGGCTGGACAATCTGCTTCTGTAGAGATACCGCCTGGGAAACCCAAGGAGGGGTTGCTATGAGTCACAATCGACTTGACAGCAGTGAGTTTGGTTTTTTTGTTTTCATACAATATATATTCTGCTAGAAGGACAAACACATCCGTCTTGGAAGAAGTACATCCAGAATGCTCCTTAAGGTCCGTGAGGGGCACAGACGGTCTGCGCTCTGCTAGTTACCCAAAGGTTGCCTATTCGAACCCACCCGTCCAGTGGCACCATGGAAGATTCATGCCTGGCAAGTGGCTTCCAGATAGATTACAGCCATCTGGGCTCCAGAGCCTGGAGTCTCTCCAAACGACTCCATAAGCAAATGCCTCAGGGTGTACCTTTGAAACAAGGAGGGTGAGACTTCGTCTCAAGTACTTTGAATGTGTTACTATGTGAGACCAGTCCCTGGAGAGGGCTATCATGCTTGGTCAAGTTGAGGGTCAGTGAGAAAGAGGAAGGCCCTCAATGAGATGGACTGACACAGTGGCTGCAACGACGGGCTGAAACAGAGCCCTGACTATGAGGATGAGGCAGGGCCAGGCAGCAGTCCACTCTGTTGCGCACAGGGTCGCCATGAGTTGGAACTGGCTCAGTGGCGCCTAGCAACAAGTGTTACTTCTATAAGCAGAAAAAAATGTATTCAAATAAGTAAAAGAGTAAAACCATCTCAGGTGTGAAGTTCCAGCATCTGCACCCTCCACATCCCTCTAGATGAAGATTCAAGCCTAGCAGCCGTGAAACCAGGCTACAGGCTGTGAGGAAGGGGTCTCAGCCCCCAGTTCCCAGTTCCCGGCCTGGCCCCCCATCCAGCTACCCACTGTACGTCTGGGGAAGAGGAGCCGAGTCACAAAGACAGGACTGTACAGTAGCAACATTCTTATTTTTGCAGAAGAAATAGCAGCAGCAGCCAGACTGTGAAGATGTGGAGGACAGACTACCTTGAACCAGAGAGAGGCCTCATGATTGGGCAAACCACCAAACAGGCCCTCACGTGACCGGGCAGATGGGAAGGGGACTGGCCAGCAGGCCCTGCTGGGGTCCTAGAGGCCAGAAGCTAAAGCAGCAGGTGCTGGCCCGAGGTCCAGGGACTGCGAGGCAACGAGCGGGTCCCTCAGAGCAGGCCTGCCCAGCACTCAGCCCTGGTCCCCTCCACGTCCTCTTCTCTCCCTTCCGAGTCCAGGCAAACAGAGGCTGCAATGTGTACACCCCACTTGGCCTCAGATCAATAGAAACCCCGGAAAGTAGACTCCAGACCAAAGGTGTAGGGAGAACGGGTCACATGAGCAGCCCACGCCCCAAGGAATAAGAAGGTCCCTGCTGGAGCCCGAAGGGGAGTCAGGACTGGCAGGAAGGCTGGTCTCAGAGCTCAAGTCCACCCTGAGAGCAGCTTCCACCCCCATCAGTCAGGGGGTCTAGAGAACACAGAAAATGAGCATCTGGAAGATTCACAGGATGTGGGCGTTGTGCCCTGTGCCCCAACCCCAGCCACTCGCTCACCTTCATCAGCTGTGGGTCATCCCCCAGCACGGCCCGAGTCACTTGCTGATAGTACTTGAGAAGGTCATCCGTGAGTGAAGACACGGCACTGGGCACTGTGAGATGGCGGGCAGGAAGTGGTCGGGGTGGAGAGCCAGGCCTCTCCCCAGCCTGCTCTCCCACGAGCCTCATCGTCACAGGCACCCCCAAGGAGCCCATTCAGACAGGACTCTCAGAGCACAGAGACCCCAGCTGCTCCGAGCAGCCTGCCCAGCCCTCCACAGGCTGGCGCTCGACCCCGCCTCGGCCAGGCAGGTTCCTGCTCGGTCCCTGAACTCTACATTCATAGGCCCCTGGTCCTGGGAAGCTCGACTCAGCATACCCTGACATGAGACAGTTCCCCTCAGGGACCCCAGCTTGCCGCCCAGACTTCTATCCTGGCCCCCAACACCTTGCACTGTGATTCACTTTCTGGTCCTGAGCCCTGCTGGCAGGGGCAAGGCCTGCTCAGGACTTTGTTCAGGGTAGACCTGTTACACATTGCCATTGAGTCAATTCTGACTCATATAAATCTTACAGGACAGAATGGAACTGCCCCATAGGGTTTCCAAGGCTGTATTCTCTATGCAACCAGACTGCCAATCTTTTTCCCACGGAGAAGCTGGTGGGTTTGAACCGCCGACCTTTCGGTTAGCAGCTGAGCATGTAAGCACCGTACGACTGAGCTCCTCCAGTACAGGGCAGGTGTCAGATTTACAGATCTGGTAAATGCCCGCCAGATCCAGACCCAGAGCTTTGAGGCCCCACCCTCAGCTCTTCGGGAAGAACACTTTCCACATGGCCTCTTACCTGACCCCTGAGGAGCCAGGTTCCCTTTGCCATCCAGGTAGGAGACATGAACTAAACCAGAACAGAGAGAGGGTCAGCCTGGGGTTTTGCTCCTTGCAGCCCCATCTACCCCTCCCAGCCTGGTTCTGCCCCTTCCACCAGCCAGCCCACTACCACCCCTCCACTCCCAGCCGCCCCTGCAGTCCCGGCAGTCACCCCTCACAGCTGTCTCAGCACAGCCTTTGGGGATGTTGGTGGCCAGGGCCAGCTCCACCAGGTTAACCTCTCGGTCTTCAGGAAAGTAGAGCTCGCCCTCTCTGGCTGGGCGCAGGGGCAGCGCCTCCTGGGATCCGTAACCACAAACTGCCTGAGGAGAGAGGATGGGCGTCCTTCCCAGGAGGGAAAAGGCACCTGGAAGGGTATTCTTCTGACCAGGACGGGGCCCCATGTTTGAGGGAAGTCCAGAGATCCTGGGGTTGGGGGCTCAGGGTCATCACTGGGAAGGCAGCTGGTAATCCAGGCACATTGGGCCCAGGGTAGGGGAAGGTCCCCCTACTATACCCGTAGTTTTGTCCGACCCCCTGTGCTGCAGGCCTGCCTCTTTCACACTCACCCACCCTGAAACGCTCCACTCTCCTTCAGACGTGACCGCCTCTCAACTCCCTGTCCCAGAACAGCTACGCGAACAGCGCAGCACCCGCACTTCCGGTCGGGCCCCTCAGCCACATGCTGTCTCCTCCTCTCTGCTTAGTTCAACCCGAGCTGCCCTTCAAGGCCCAGCTCAAGTCCCACCTCTTCCCAGAAGCCTTCGCTCATCTCCTAACCCCAGTGCCTCCTCTCCTGCTTTTGAACTCACAGCCGTGGTGGCCCGGCTCCAGCACCGGGCATCGGTCCTGCTGCTGTGGGCGTCCTCGGTGCGCGTGCCTCCAGCCCCCGTGTCTCGCGGCACCGCCAGCCCCACTCACCTCCACGCTGCTCCATCTGAGAGCCCTGTTGAAGTCCTCCACCGTCAGCTTCCGGCGTCTGGTGTGCTTCATGAACTGAGAGCTATTCTGGGAGAGTCAGAGACCAGGGAGTATGGGGCAGCCGGCCCCTCAAATGAAGAGAGCCAGCCAGGGAGGGAAGTGTAAAGAGGACCCCAGAGCAGCGATCAGAGAGCGAGCACCCCCGCTCTGCACTTGTCCAAACCACTCCCTTGAGCCTCACTTTCTCATCTGAAAACCGCCGAGTGCGACCCTGTTCTTCCTGCGCAACGGGGCTGTTGGGAGGAGCCCCTGAGGAGGCGGCCCGCAGCATGCTGGCCGCTGGAGGCCCAGCTGTCAGAAGAGCTCTGTGAAGGGCAGGGACTGCCTGTGGCTTGTTCACCTCATACTCCTCCCAAGCACAGAGCAGGGGCCCAGCACAACGTGAACACATCCGCGTGGGAGGGGTCAGTGAAGGGAGAGAGCAATGGGAGTCGGGAGTCATTGGGGCGCAGGGTCCGTACCTGTGTGGCCTCTCGGAGGCGGTAACACACATCCTCGGCGAGCAAGGCGGCCACCTCGTCACTCAGCTCCAGGCCCGTGCTCTCTGCCATGAGCCGGATCGACTCCCGAGGAATCTCCACAAACCGCCGCTCTTCCCGCTCCGACATGGCCCCGATGGAGCTGGGGAGAGCGAGGGCTTGGAAAGCTGGCCCCGTCCCTGCGCGCCCAGGAGCGCGACTCAAAGCCTCTGCACCCGGCTGCTCTTGCTCCAGGATTCCCGAAAGAGGACACCAAGGCTCAGGGCAGAAAGCAGACCAGCCGGCGGGCAGGCAACGGGGACGCTGGAGAAAGGGCCTAGCCGCCGAGGTCACAGGCCCAGTCTCAGCACTGCCCAACCACTGACTGTGGGAAACTGGCCAAGTCCTTCATCGGCTGGAGCCCTGGTGTCCAAAGATGGAAAACAGGGGCCACAGTTACCACCCCCCTCCGCCTCCCCCCTGCAACTCACAAGGTTGCTATGAGGATCAAAGGAGACGATGTATCAGAGAAAGTCAGGGACTGAAACTCGGTACCAAAGGAAGATGTTAGCATCATTAAACTTCAACGAAAACTCCACCTCTTCTTCCTTTTTATTCATGCTACAGTCAACATCAAGTCCCTTGCTCAACAACCTTCAATACTTCCCCCTGATCACATAAACAAAGTCCACACTCCCCAGCCCTGCAGTCTGTGTCGGACCCCAAATCCCAGTTTTTCAACCTGACCCTTCCTCCCAGGATGACCACCTTCTGCCCTTGCCCTGTGCCCCTCCACCGGGGCTCTGCTCAGGCTTCTTCCCCGATTCTCTCCTTCTCCCCTTTGTCAACACAGTGCCCATTTCTCTTTTGGGATCTCCCTGCCCCCCCAATGCCACCAGGAACTGCCAGGCTTGCAGTCACTGGATGCAGCGCCCATGTGTCTGGGCTTCCCAGTTTGCCCACAAGGCCTTAAAGCAGAGACCTGCTTATCTGTCCACAGCACACGGCAGCGTCAGAACTCACCGAAAGCAGCAGCCAACAGCTGACTCCAACAACGCATGCCACACCTTAGGCGCCAGGCCCACCGGGAGTAGGGCTCTGTTCCACGGTGACCCACCCATTATTCCACCAGCAGGGCTCACTGGGGTCACCAGTGACCTCCAGGTTACTCGATCTAATGAGCAGCCTCCCTGACCCTCCATAGCATTCCTCCCAAAGTTCCCATCACCTCTGGAATGAAGAACAAATCTGGACTGTGGCTCCTGAGGCTGGCTTGGGCTACCTACTGCTCCTGCAACACGTCTCACCACTGTCTCTCGTGTCTGCGTTTGTGCCAGTGGCCTCCTTCCCTTTCCTCAGGCCCTTCATGCCATCTCCTTGCTCTCTGCCCCCAACCTCTTGTCTAGAGCGAACTCCTGCCCACTCCTTCAGATCTCATCCAAACATCATTTTCTTAGGGAATTCTTCCAACGCCTCCGCAGACCCTGCCTTTCCCTTCAGAGCAGTTATCTGAGTTTGTAATGGTATATTCGTGTAACATCGATTATTAATATTTACCTCCCCACTAGACTATAAGCTCCATGTGGGCAAGAACCATGTGTTGACTCACCTTTGCATCCCCAGGGTCCAGCACAGTGTCAGCACATAATACACGCTCAATGAACACCTGCTGCAAGGATGAATAAAGAACAGCTGGGTTTGTTTAGAGCCTCAGCCATTGAGATAAGTGCTTTATACAGATTACCTCATTCTATCCTCACAATGAGGTAAGTGTTATGTACGTACGATATCCATTTGGGAAGGAGCCCTGGTGGCACAGTGGGTAAGCACTAGGCATCTAACCAAAAGGTCAATGGTTCAAACCCACCAGCCACTCCATGGAAGAGAGATGTGTTCATTTTCCTGACAGTCCTTGGTATATTCAATACTCTTCACCAACATCGTAGTTCAAAGGCATCAATCCATCTTCGGTCTTTCTTATTCATTGTCCAGCTTTCACATGCATATGAGGTGACTGAAAATACCATGGCTTGGGCCGGGCGCACCTAGTCCTCAGAGTGACATCTTTGCTTCCTAACACCTGAACAAGGTCTTCTGAAGCAGATCTGTCCAATGGAATTCGCTGTCTTCACTGCAGCTTCCATGGGTCCCTAAAGATTACAGCCTTGGAAACCCCATAGGGCAGTACTACTCTGTCCAGTAGGCTGTCGTAAGTTGGAATGGACTCAACGGCAATGGGTTTTATGTTCATTTCAAAAGGAGCCCTAGTGGCACAATGGTTAAGTGCTCGGCTGCTAATGGAAAGGCTGGAGGTCCACCAAGAGGTACCAAAAAGAAGGGCCTAATGGTCGACTTCTGAAATACCAGCCCCTGAAAACGACACGGAGCACCATGCTGCTCTGAAACACACCAGTCACCCTGAGTCAGAGCCAGTCAAATGACCCGACGGGCAACTGCATGTTTTTTTTTTAATGTTCATGTCACAACCAAGGGACTCAAACCTCAGAGAGGTTAAGTGACTCGATCAAGACCATCTGGTGAGCACTGAGTAAGTGGAGAGCAGGGGCTCAAACCCTTAGTCCTGATCACAATTCATCCCAGGAACGGGGAAGGGGTGGGGAGCATGTGAGGACAAGTTCCATGCAGTCTAGGCACTGGAGACCCACCCTGGGTGACCCCTAACGGACAACGGATACTGGTTAAGTCTCAGTTTCCCCATTTGCAGAATGGGAGCATTAAGTCCTGGCCCCGCAGAAGCCATTAAAACCAATCAAAACCAAACCCACTGCCATCGAGTTGATTCCAACTCATAGCGACCCTACAGGACAGAGTCGAACCTGCCCCATAGGATTTCCAACGCTGTAAATCTTTACGGAAGCCGACTGCCGCATCTTTCTCCCACGGAGGGAGCGACTGGTGGGTTCAAACCACGACCTCTAGGTTTGCAGGCGACCACTTAACCACCGTGCCACCAGGGCTCCATAGTGTCCACACTACGATCGCACAAAGTGCGTCCTCTGACCACAGCTCTTCCTCTCCGCAGCCGGGCCACCAGCCGCACTACTGAGGAGGTGTGGGAACACAACTCGAAGGGCCTCGTTCTCCCCAGACCCAGAGATGACAGAGTGGGATGGACGAGAAGGGTCAGGGGTCACCGAACCTGGGTCACGTGGTCGGAGAAGGGCGCGGGCCCCAGGCAGAGCGGGCTCAAAGGCTGATGAGTGCGCAGCCCGCGGCAGATGGGGAGTCCTTGAGTTAGAAGGCCTGCTCACCTGTGGGCTCCGGCGCGGCGACGTGGGCTACCTAGACCGCGGCGGCACCCACATTCACTGGGTTCGCCACACTAATTCCCTCTCTCGGCGTCCAGGCCCCGCCCTCCACGAACACAGCCAATCGGCGGGCGCCGTGAGAAGTTCCCGCCCTCCAAGGGGCTTTTCGCCACGTGATTGGCCAGTGTGAAGGTGCTGTAAGGGACTGAGCATTGGGGTCACGTGACGATGAAGAGCCTCAAGCCTTAAAGCGATACCCCTTGCTAGTTTTGCGGGTGGTTGTGTGTGCTCTGGCGTATGGTCGACAATCACATGCTCCAGGGAAGTGCCACCATCTCCTTGCGTTTCTCAGCTTCCGAGTTTCTTAGCTTTTACGCGACTGCAGCTACGCTTTGGGCTTTGGTATCTTTGTTTTCCTGCTCACCTCTAATATCACTTGCTCTGGTGTCGCGGTGTCTCAGGCATTTGACTGCTAACCAGTAGGTTGGCAGTTCAACCCACCAGCCAATCCGAGGAAGGACGATGGGGCAATCTACCTCCGTAAAGATTTACCGCCTTGGAAACCCAGTGGGAGTCTCTTATGAATCCAAATCGATTCCATGGCAGTTTTATTCCTATTCCTGAGAGAATGGATAGGGCACCCAGTAGGTGCTGTTCGCAGGCAGACACCGAACACCTCGCGCATGCTCCAGACTCCAGAAGGCTGCTCTTTTGAGCGTCCTACCTCGTCGTCTACTTCCGCAGTGACACTGCCTCGGCAGCCCAAGGAGGGGTCGCTGTGAGTCGGGGCCGACTCGACGGCACACAACCACCACCACCTCGTCCACATTGGTCATGTTATTAGAAGGGACCGGTCCCTGCAGAAGGGTATCATGCTGGGTAAAGTGGAGGTAAGCGAAAAAGGGAAAGCCCCCTCAAGGAGATAGATTGACGCAGGGGCGGCCACGATTGTGAGGATGGGCAGGACCGGGCAGTGTTTTGTTCTGTTGTACACATACTGTGGCTATGGGTCAGCACCGACTGGACGGCACCTAACAACCTTGGCCTCCCTACTCCTGTCCAGGAAACCTTCATATGCCCCACAGACTTACCTGACCCTTTTACATACACACACTAATGGCTACGGTTCCTGAACTGCTACTGCGACAGCAGCACCTTAGCCAGTTCTCAACTGAGCATCATGGTTAGTAAATAATGGAAGATATTTGGAGGCAGACCGACCTGGAGTCAAATCTTGACACTTGTCTTGGGGCAGGTTATCCAATTACTTTTTAACCCATCTACAAAATGGGATAATAATGCCAGGGTTGTTACAGATTAAATGAAGCAATGTCTGTGCAAGCCCCCAGCAGAGTTGGTGGTTGAACTTTCCTTCACTCACACGTCATGGAGCACTCAGGGAGTTCTGTTATGTTCACTCAAGATGGGGTCCTTTGCAAAGAACTTCTCGTCATAGGAATATTTCATTTCTTCAGGGGAGCATGAGCAGCCACATCCCCCTCTTCCATTCAGGGCTAGATGCTGCCGCCCCAAGAAGAGATCCTCTGGGGCCGACGGAGCAGGGATGGCCAGATAGATGGGGCTGGGGTTGCCATGGCAACACTACCTGAGCCTGTGACCCTGCTGAGTCTCATAGTCCTCCACAATGACATTTGGCGAGGTTTCTATATTCATGCTTGAACGCTGGAGTGTCTGCCCATCTGTGTGTGAAATGAAGGCATGAAGGGGCCCTCCTCTGAGGCAGTAGGTCTAAGACAGGCTCTGGGCAACTGGCAGATCTAGCTGAGATGTTATTGGTCTGGACGGCCACTGGCAACCTTGGAGGCATGAGACAATGGAGGGAGGAAGGCCTGGTCGTGCCAGGGGTCTGTCAGATGCAACAAAGCTATATCAGAGCTATCCAGGGCTCCACCTTAAGTGAAGGCAAGGGCCAGAGAAGGTGGTAGGAAGACCCACATGACCACAGATGAAGGAAAAAGTGACCAACACTCACCCTCTAGTCACCCAGTGCTTGGCAAGAGTCAGACTGACAATAGAAAAAAAAAAAAAACCTAACACCAACTATTCCCTAGCTGTGTGACGTTAGGCATGTTAGTTCATGGAACTGTTATGAAGATTTTGTAAGGCACTGTGTGTAAAGAGCTTAGCCCAGGGCTGGACACATAAAACTGTTACTATTAGCCTGTGACCTCTTCAAGAGGCTGTAACTTTCAGACTCTCCTCTAGTACCAACTTGAAGAAATCCCAAGTCCTAGAGACCACCTCCAGCCCCATCTTCTTCCTTCCCCACTCTGTGCCAGCTTCTGGGTGCCACGTCCACATCCTCACGGTGCCCATACGCTCAGGCTCCATGAGCTGGTCTCTTCCTTCCAGGCCTAATGTTCCTTCCAGGTCACTTCTGCGTGAGTGACAAATGGGGGGCTCCACTTGAGAACCTGGGAAGAACTTTATCCTGTGAGACACATTAGGGTTAGGGTCTAGGGAGTAGCTCCAAAATCTGTATAATCAACTACAGTGTTGCTTCCATTGGAGACTTCATAGCAAACCCAGAAGAAATGTTCCTATGTTAAACTGGGATTTGGGGATACAAAGTGAAAGGGGTACATATGAATCTACAATTATCTCAATAAAGTCTCCATTAGAAAATCTTAATAGTAACAGAGTAGTGATGACAGTAGGGTGTTTTGTGACACACTACAGGGCTCTGAGTGGGAAGCGAAGCGGGGCACCTGGGACTGCCCTGTGGTGTAAAGGGGAGGGGCAGGAATGGTAGTCTCAGTACCTATTGTCATGTTCTGCGCACTGTTCAGGATGCTTCATATCTGGGTTTTCACACTCCTCCATGTTTGACATTTGGGGCTAGATAATCCTTCATTGTGGGGGGCTGCCCTGTGCACTGCAGGATGCTTAGCATCATCTCTGGCCACTAGTGCCCCCCTCCAAGTTGTGACAACCGAGAATGTTTCCAGACATTCCCAGATGTCCGCTGGAGGGCAAGGTCACCTGGCTGAGAATCAGCTTTACATACATCTTGTAATTGTAATTAACAGGGGAGTGGCTCTCACGGACCAGGCTGTACGTGAGCCACTTACATGTATGATCCGATCACCCAGCAACCACCCAAGGATGGTTGGTAACCCAGCTAGAAGTGACACCCAAGTCTGTTCCAATCTAAATCCCATGCTTTGTACTACATAGCTCTGCTGCCCAAGGAAGTTGGGGAAAGCTGCAAAACAGTAACTGAACAGATTTCACAGGCTAACGGCAAGCAGACACATTGGAAAAGGACATTCCAATGTGAACAAGTAACATTGCAAAGGCATTGTGTGAGAGAGGGTGGCATGTTGGTTTCATCTTTGGTCATGTTGCGGATTTTTACTGTGTCACCTGTAACTCCACAAAGTTGAGTAACTAGATAGGAGCCCTTCCACATCTTCAATTCTAATTGGTATCGCAGAATCAACAAATGATTGATTAGTCAATAAAGGGTCCTGTCGATAATGCACACATCCTAAAAGATCTGAGTCATTATCCTCTTGTCATCGCTCTACTTGTCCTCCCTTCTCTTTTTCCCAGTTATACTCTTGCTTATTTTTAAGGGTGGGGCAGGGGTGTGGAAAGAACCCACTGAAACTAGATTAGGACTCAAAATGACTCTAATGATGGTATCACTGACTGAAAGCCAAAGCCCAACATCAGTGTCTTGCTGTCAATGAGGCCACCTCTTGACCTTGGCAAATGGTTTCATCAGATCCCTGGGTGGCTCAGGGTGGTTGAGGCATCAGGCCAAGAAAAAGAGGGTAGGGGGCCTTTAGCCCCATGGACTTTAAAAAAAAAAAGTGTTGTTGCTCTTAAGAAAGAAGGAGATAACACCTCCATGAGACCAAGGACCTTTTTATGGTAAGAACACAAAGTCAAAACTCTGAGCGCGGCAGCTAAGCCAGACATAGAGCAAGACATCTTCTGGGGATGAGGAACCTTCCTTGCTTTATCCCCACAGCAGCCAAACTGGGCTCTGGACAACAGGAGCAGTGTGACAGTCACGCTTCCTAAATCAGGACTCCATGCTCAGCTCACAAGTCCTGTCAGAACAGGAAAGACACATCAGCGGCCCCCAAGCTTGGGGCAGCCCCATCTGCTACTTCCCATTCCAAGGGCCGCACACCCTGGTCTCCCAAGCAGACAGCGCGAGAGCCGAGTTGCTATGTCTGCGACTCAGGCCTTCTCGCCATGTCCTCCCCCAACCCCACCCATCTTCTCAGACAGCAGCCCCAGCATGCAAGATCACACACTTACCTAGGTAATCATCCATCAGGGAGCCAATAGCAAACTGCAAGAGGTAAGGTAAGAAGGAAATGAAAATCAGAGGGGCACAGACCCACCCCCAGCCCCCAGCCGCAGACTTCTGCCCACCCATCATCCTCTCTTCCTGGCAGAAGACTATATAACCCCCAGGAACTCTTGTTATTGTTGTAGTGAGGTGCTGTCGAGTTGGCTCCGACTCAGAGTGACCCTGTGCACAACAGAACGAAACGCTGCCTGAGCCTGCGCCATCTTCACAATCCTTGCTTTGCTTGAGCCCATCGTTGCAGCCACTGTGTCAATCCAACTCATTGACAGTCCGCCTTTCTCACTGACCCCCCACTGTACCAAGCATGACATCCTTTTCCAGGGACCAGTCCCTTCTGACAACATGACCAAAGTAGGTGAGACGAAGTCTGGCCATTCTCGCTTCCAAGGAGCATTTAGGCTGCACCCTTTAATGTTTCAGGGCTATTCACAAAGTTTTCTAATATATCAGATAGTGTTTCACTGCTATTCATAAAGAACTCTGGATTAGAAGAAATCAATGGCTCCTGGCTCTGCCCAGCACAGGCAGGGACAGGCAAGAGACTCACAATGTCATTCTTGTCTACTCGGGTCCCCACAATCTTCAAACGGATCTCGTCATCCTGCTGAATCACAATATCCTGGAGGAGGAAGGGTGCACTCAGACCCCCAGGCCAGTACCCTCCATCAGAGTAGCTCCTTCTGTCCTCCGCTCCTTCAGAGACCTCTTCCTACCCACTCACCTCATCCATTGTCTTGTAACACGGTGGGTTTGAGTTGGGGTCAAACTCCATCTCTGATGGGATGGACTGAAAGGAAAGTGAGGCTGGGTCAGCAGTTCAAACAAAAGCTTCAATAGATGGTCACGGATGGACATCTCTCTTCCTTAAACCCCCCTTCCCTGCTGCTGAGCACCTAGACTTACATGTCGAGAAATGAAGCAGGACATGGGCCCAATTTCTGTGAAGAGTCCGACCTAGAATGGAAGGAAGTGGTCTTGCTTCATATTTGTTCCCAAAGTCCCTTAAGCTTCCCATCTTTGTCTGAGTCCTGGTAACTCCAGACTCACTGCCATCGAGTCGGTCCTGACTCATAGCAACCCCTTCTTGGGTTTCCGAGGTGGAAATAGATTGCCCAACCTTCAGTCCTAATAATATTCTTTACATGCTGCCGCAGTCCTTCCTCCTGAAAATTTCAGGAGCCAGTTGTTAGAGACTGGATTACCAGCAGGACTCTGTAGAGTAACACATTCAAAGCAGTGCAGTCGCCCGCCATCTTTAATTAGGCACAACTGTTTGTTTCCTATTCAATCAAAACACCATGGCCAACAGATTTGGTTGCTATGCAACTATACATGACCCTTGTTTACAATGGCAATTACTGAACTGTTTTAAACTAGTCTGAAGCCCTGATTTGAATACCACACTGCCCCTTGCTAGTTAAGTGACTTTGGCCAGAACACGTAGCTTCCCCAAGACTCAGTTTCTATGAAAAAGAGGTGGGAAGGGATAAAAGCATCCATATCACAGTCATAATGAGGATTTGCACATTACTTGCCCATAGTAACTGCTCAATCAGTGTAAGCTACAATTGTAATAAGTATTACTATTGACTCACCCGCCCCTAAGGCAGGCAGAGCAAGATTACCATTTCATTTGACAGGAGAGAAACTGAATTGAAAAGAAGTGAGCTGACCTAGCCAAGGACACAAAGTAAGTGGAGTCGGGACCAAACCCAGCTCTTCTGAGGGCCCAGCCCACTGCCTCCCCAGTGTATGATCTTACCTTGTTGACCTGTGTGACAATAGCATCCACGACCTCGCCTTTAAAGGGCCGGAACACAATGGCCTTGTACTTCACTGGATAAAGGACAAAGCCTCGGCCTGGCTGGATCACACCAGCACCAATATTGTCAATGGTGGTGACAGCAATTACAAAGCCATACCTGTGAAGAGAATGAGAAAGGCACTGTGTGCGGAAGGGTATCTAAAGCCACCTGCAAATGAATCACTGAACCTGGGGAAGGGTGGGGCACAAAGGAGAAGTAGACAGCACCCCTGTCCCCAGAGATTAATGACCAGGAGAGAAGACAGCATGTATAAGGCTTTCAGATTTCATGAGAAATGCCCAAGACGACTGCAGTCTTTGAACCAACAGACCTCAAACTCTGGGATGTCTCAGAATCACCAAAAAGAAACTTGTTAAATTCTCAGGCCTGCCCTCAGAGAACCTTGATTCTGAGGGCCAAGGTAAGGCACGAGAACGTGCACATTCAAGAAGGACCCCAGATTATTCTCACAATGGCGGCCCAAGTATTCCACGGCTTAGTTCCAGCTCATTCACATCACCTTCTAAGAGGCCCTTCAGTGCAGAGGCCAGATATGGACATATTCCAGCCCTCTCCTGTCTCCCTCAAACTCCAAGCCTACTTTTTCCTGGTCACTCATTCATTCAGCAAACATCAACTGATGCCCAGCATGTGCCATGTCAGGTCCCTGGGCCCAGGGGAGAGGGGAAACCTGGAGGAACAGACACAGGAGGGATGACTTCAGTGTGAGCTCCATGAGAGCCAGCGTCCGTCTACCTCGTTCACTGCGTGCTCTAGGAGCCAGCACAGGGGCTGAAGAAATTGGTAAATTTTTCAGCTGAAAGCAGGAAATTCGGTTAACCACTTTCACAGAAGGCTTCATGGGAACCCAAATCAGGAGACAACTGACTGCCTGGGGCGCCTGGGAGGGTCAGAGGGCTTCCCAGAGTGGGTGGCAGGGCACTGCTGGAGCGAGGAGGGGCCGCAGACACGGAGCACAACGCAGGCAACAATCAGACAGAGCCGAGAGTGGGACACTCACTTCCCCGTGCACGTCCCCTCCACCTCGGTGAAGAGCTTCTGTTTCACCGTGTTGAGCAGGTTGGGGCCGAAGTAGCGCGGGTGCAGCAAGATCTCGTGCTCCAGGGAGATCTAGGGAGAAAGCGAGAAGGGGACCCAGCAAGGCGAGGCGGGGTTATGGGACGAGAAGTGGGCCCCAGCCTCGGTGCCCGACCTCGGCCCTGCTCTAGGCCTACCCACGCCCCCACTCCGAGCCGTGCTCACGTGGTAGAACATCTTCCAGAGGAGGCTTGACAGCTGCGCCTGCACCGCCACCCGCAGCGGCTACTCCCGAACCACCGGAAACACATATTGCCGCCCCAACCTCGCTTCCGGGCACCAGCAGAAGTGGGCGGGACTGCACCCCTTCTGCCGATCCGATTGGGCCTTGTGGTCTTGGGGGCGTGTCCCTGAATCTCCGCCCCCTGAGCGCCGCCCGCCACCGGACAAACCGCCGTTCCTTCAGAAATCAACAGTGTCTGTTCTGTAACAGATGCTCACTGGATCCTTTTAAACAGAATTCGTTCATTAGTAGAAGTCGACGCAAGTAAAGTGCTTTAGTAGAGTGCATTCAACAAAATATTGGAAGACTACTTTCACAAAGTAGGCATAGTAAGTAGCCGTTCATGTTTAATCCTTTACCACAACCGCATGTTAAACACAGCCATTATTTAAAATTGCATTATTTAAGCTTCCTAATAAGGGAGCTCTGGTAGCATAGTGCCTAAGGCACTTGACTTTTAACCAGAAGTCTGGCGGTTCAAACCCACCAGCCATTCCTTGGAAGGAAGGTTGGGCAATCCTCCTTCCCTAGTGATACTGCCTCGGAAACCCAAGGAGGGGTCGCTATGAGTCGGGGCCGACTCGACGGCAAATAACAACAACAACAATAAGTAAACTATATTAAACAAACAAAAAAAGTAACATATTAAGAACAAAAGTAGAAGTATAGATAAAACAAGTTTGGCGACAGACTGGTAATTGTTGCAGCTAGGTGTGTGTGGTGGTTGTTGGTGCGGAGAAGTGGGTTCCAACTTATGGAACACCCTGCAACAGAGCAAAACATGTGCCATCCTCACAATCGTTGCTACGAAGCCATTGTTGCAGCCACTGTCGCTGACCCTCTGCGAAGCATGATATCTTTTCCAGGCACTGGACCTGTCTGGTAAGATGACCAAAGTTTGTGAAATGAAGTTGCACCATCCTCCCTTCTAAAGAGCATTCCAGCTGGAATTCTTCCAAGACAGATTTGTTTATTCTTCTGGCAGTCCAGAGTGTATTCAATATTCTTCACCAACACCATAATGCAATGAATAAGGAAGACCAAAGAAGAGTTGATGCTTTTAAGTTGTGGTGTTGGCGAAGAATGCCAAGAGGACCATGGACTGCCAGAAGAACTAACAAATCTGCCCTGGAAGAAGTGCAGCCAGAATGCTCCTTGGAAGCGAGAATGGCCAGACTTCATCTCACCTACTTTGGTCGTGTTGTCAGAAGGGGCCATTCCCTGGAGAAGGAAATCATGCCTGGTAAAGTGGAGGGTCAACAAAAAAGGGGAAGACCCTCAACGAGATGGATTGACATGGTGTCTGCAACGATGGGCTCAGGTATAGCAAGGACCCTGAGAATGGCACGGAACCGGGCAGTGTTTCGTTCTGTTGTATATGAGGTCACTAAGAGTTGGACATCACTGGAACGCACCTAACAACAACACCATAATGCAAAGGCATCGGTTCTTTGGTTTTCCTTATTAATTGCCCAGGTTTCACATGCATATGAGGCTATTGAAAAATACTATGGCTTGAGTCAGGCACACCTTATTCCTTAAAGTAACATCTTTGCTTTTTAACATTTTCAAGAGATCTTTTGCAGCAGATTTGCCCGATGTAGTACATTGTGTGATTTCTTGACTGCTGCTTTTATGGTTTTGATTGTGGATCCCAGTGAAAGAAATCCTTAGCAACTTCAATAGGTTACAATTCAGATTCAAGAACGCTGGAGATCAATCAGGACCACCTCCCCCCAGCCATGCTCCTAGGCACCCATATCTTTGGCCCTTGGCCTCTCAGCCCTGCTTGTGCAAGTGTTATTGTTGTTGTTATGTGCCATCGAGTCGGACCCGACTCATAGCGACCCCTTCTTGGGTTTCCGAGGCAGTATCACTATGGAAGTAGATTGCCCCATCTTCCTTCCGATGAGTGGCTGGTGGGTTTGAACCGCTAGCCTTCTGGTTAAAAGTCAAGTGCCTTAGGCACTACGCTACCAGAGCTCCCTGTGCAAGTGTTACAAAGCTCTTTTAGTTCTGCTGATAGGTGCACCCCAGTCCACCAGCAAGCCTCTTGGCAGGCACTCGGCTTCCTGACTCTATGGGCCGGGAATCCGCCCACTGCTCTGTGGCTCATGCCAGTCCCTTGGTTCTGTCCGTTCTGCTGCTGCTGTCTCTCTGGCCTCTCTCTGCCATCTCAGTGCAGTGATCTCAAGTCCAAGGACACGCTCCACTCTTGGTTTTTTCTTGGTGGTAGTGAGATCCCCACTTGCTACCTGTGGGATGGCTCATTTTAAGCCTAGCAGGATGCCAAAACTGACCAATCCCCACATTAGGGTTCCGTACACCTTATTTCCATGGTCCCACGCCCACAAAGATGCCATGTACCTTATTTATGTTATTAGCAAGTGTTCTGGTTCCCTAGTGCCGCTCTGACAAGAACCTACCACAAATGGGATGACCTTAACAAACAGGAATTTATTCTTACAATTTGGAGGCTTTAAGTCCAAGTTCAAAGTGCCAGGCTCTAGGGGCTGGGTGAAAACCCTTCATCCTCGGGGTCCAGGTCTGCCTCCTGCTCCTGGCCCACTGGAGCTAGAGGCGTTTCTTCACTCAGACAACTGCTGGCTGCTGAGGCTGAGAAGCCCCGAGGTTGACAAGTAAAAAGGCACAGTCCAAACTACACAGCAGACCATTAACTTAAGTCTATTGTTAAGTCCCAAGGACAGCAGAGCATAGCAGGCTGATGAGCAACGACATGGCTACATGCAGGGTCCAAGCGTGCCACAGGCTGGAGACCATTCCCAAGGCTTCTGCTTAAATACAGGAAGCAGACCACATTCCCTAAGGCAGCTACTCAGCTGCTCACAGTAGATTCCACCATGGAGTTGATTACCAGTCTCATCATGGGGAATACTACATCCAGCTGCCCAGCCATTCAACCAGGCCAGCCAAGTTGACACACAAACTGAACCACCACAGCAAGCTATTGATCCTGTCCTCTTGGTGGGCCACAAACCCACCTCACATCTGCACAGTTCTACCCAGTCATCTGATGGGAGTCACAAAGACTAAGCTAGAAGAGCCAGACCAAGTAATTCACTGTACCCCACCTCACCATCAAGAAGCGCCTAGAGCCGAGGACGTCCTTTGGACCTGGGATGCCTGTGCTAAGAACCTTCTAGACACGAGAGAAAGCTGTAACATTGGCACCACTAAGAAAGGACAGTGACCACAGCAGAGCTCGGCAGCAGAGAAATGGCATCAGTAATGTGAGTGGCAGGAACCAGAAGACATGGCTCAAGGTGGCCGCAGTGAGCTTGCCACCCCATGGAGTAAGAGAGACCTGAATGCCTTCAAGCAGGACGCTTGCTAGAGGAGTGGGGTGTCTCTAGGCACTAACTAACTGCAGGGCAGTGGCCAAGAGAAGGTCTGCCTGTGGGCACAGCCAAGAGAATGGCCACTGGCCTGTAGGCAGAGCCAAGAAGAAGCTTGGAAGCTACCTTGACTTCCCTAATAAACTTCATAGCCATGCGTATGATCTGTGAGTTCTGTGTGCCCACTGCATGAAATTATTGAACCCAGCAGAGATGTAGAGAGTGCCATGTGGGGGGTGGCTATTGTCAGAAATGGTGAAAAATTTAGAGAGTGGAGGTATGTCTGACCTCCACCTCATAGGAGTCAGTTTTATGCTGATCTTAATTGTCATCCCTCCTCATGAATATAGATGAGGTCTGACACTAGTTGATTGCAATCCCCAATGTCCCATCTCAAAAATGGCTCTTCTAGCCACACCATGGCTCATGCTAAAATCGTGGCCATCCTTGATTCCTTTTCCTTCCTTGTCTTCCATATTCTAGGCTAAGTTCAGTAAATTCTGTTGATCCAGTGCTTGTCTCCATCTCCACCACCACTACTCTTTTTATTATTCTTATTTTTAGTTTTATTGTGATTTGGGTGAAAGTTTACAGAGCAAGTTCATTTTCCATACAGCAGTTCATTCACATTTTGTTTCATGACATTGACTGCAATTCCCCACAAGGTAACAACTCTCTTCCCACTTCCTTCTTATAGTCACGCGTCTTCCCTTGTCCACTACCTCTACTCTTATAGTAACCCATCACCGTCTCTTGCTGGGCCATTTCCATAGTTCTTCCCTGCCTCCACCTTGACCTCCTGTCATCCCCTCACAGGGCAGTAAGGATATGCCTTTATAAACAAGAATCATATTAGAACACTCCTCTGCTTAAAACTGGGAAGCGGCAGCAGATGGCTTTTTGGAGGGCTGGAACTGGTAGGGAAGGCAGGGAAGCAGGAGTGGAGCAGTTTGGAACAACTAAGGGAGGCAAACTTATCTGTCAGTTAGTCATCCTTTGCTGGCCTGTGTCTTGCTATGAGGCTGGAGGCTGTGCCATCAGTGTTTCAAGTGCCAACAGAGTTAACCGTGATGGACAGGTTTCAGGGGAGCCTCCAGCCTAAGACAGACTCAGAAGAAGGAAGAGGCCATCCACTTCTTAAAGAATTGGCCAATGAAAACCTTATGAATAGAAGTGAAACACTGTCTGATCTATCACTGAAAAACAGCCTTGAAACATTATCTGATACAGTTCCAGAGGATGAGCCCCTCAGGTCAGAAGGCACTCAAAGTATGACTGGGAAAGAGCTGCCTC